TGTGGTAGACTGGTATTGCCTGTCTCTCTCGTTCGAAAGAGACAGGTGACTACCGCCATCTAAGCCAGGAATTCCTGGCTTGATTGATGCGCCATCTACCGCCGCTGCTCTACGCCCTGGCATGGGAAATAATCACAATAAACTGATAAGCCGGGGATATCTGCTGAGTCAGGGAGTCATCCTAAACCGATGAATGTTTAAAATGTGTCAGTTTCAATCAACAAATGTTGCAGTTTTATTTTATTCAAGTAATGTATGGTATGTAATGTGATAGGAGCTTGGCAAGCTAATTAAAATACCTTCAGGCGAAGTGAGTGAAATCAGGGACCTATAGGTCTATACTAAGTATATAGTATATAGGTCCCTGGTGAAATGTTAACACTTGTGTTAAACAAAATATTTGTATTGTATGTGGAAAGTATTGTGACCGTGTTAGATTGATTGCATCAAAAGCAAATTATAACTAGTGTCAATACTTTTATGATTTGTTTCAAATCATCCCTCACGGTTTATTGTTTTTCCAATGCAGCTTTTGTACGCATGGACAATACAACGGCCGGTATCTCTGCACTATGTGATCTGTTTTGGTTTCCCCGACACATTTAAATTTCTACGTAGGCGAGAGTTTTTATCAGCCAATGAGCGCGGCCAGCAGAGGGCTCTTTACATTACTGGTCACCTGTCTGTATATCGCGCATATCAGACAGGCAAGCCAGTCAATAGCCTGTGGCTATAAATAGCCACCGTCTAAAAATCAGCAAAGCCTGCAACTACCCACCATGTTGGCTTTCGCCTGGGACCTATTACCGACTTACTTTAAGGGTTTCTTGTGTCAGTGAGGCTGTTCATCAGCATCAAGTACTGTAATTTATTGAAATAAAGAAATTGCAAGCGACAATCCAGCAGCATTCCGCCGTATTATCGTGTTTATTGACATTTCTCTGACATGAGACATCCAGCTGATCTCGGCCGGAAGTAGTCAATTATCGACAACTCGTTCTAAGTTTACTCTGAATATCACGTTGATACTTACGCGGTAAATTCAAAAACATTCAGCCTGCATCTTGTTTATGAAAATGGCACATCAGTTGTATGTTTGCAATCTGATAAAATTAGAACTAAAGTGATCGTGCATTACTCTGACGTGGCTATTAAGTCCAAATGTTGAATTCATCTATTTAATTATATCACTAAGTATATGACAGGGGACGAAGGGGTCGAGTGGCAATTTTATTTTTAGAGTTACATTATTATTTTCAAGCCAGTGAAAGACAAATTTTTATTTCTAACATGATCAGGGACAGATTATTTATTTTCTTCTACACCGAAAATAAAGATTGACGAAATAAATAAATAAAAGAATAATAAGGTAAAAAAAAATGAGGGAAAACTGCCAAATTTTCAACATTTTCAAGGACACATGATTTATTGCCAAAATCTTCCAGCACCCCCCACCCCCACCCCCCAATTAATACCGGTTCAACTTATTCTTGTAAATTTCTACAAAACGTTTGCAACTTTTTAAAACTTGTTCCACACGTACACACATGGTGAATATATTAGGGGTACTGCACCATTTTTTTTAAAATAAAATCCATCATTTTCAAAAGCTCGTACTATGTAATTCACTATAAAATACACTAATGGCCTTAAATTAGCCTATCAAATGCATTTGAAGAAATGATTAAAATGTCTGAATTATTTCATTAAGATGAACATTATCTGGATGGCTTGATCGAAATAATCAAAATTAATGTGTAGGAAACCTATATCGGTATTCGGTATGTACCATGATAAACTGGATGTCAGCAATAGCCTTTTCTTTGGGGCTCTTGTTAGGGTTATATGATATCTCATGTTTAAAATTTATATATTCATATCTGATGTAGTTCATAAACATAGAATATTCTTCAAGACCAGAAACAGACAATGCAGTTAGGGAAAGAGAGGGGGGGGGGGGGTTATAGAAGTTTTTTTTCAAATGATGGTTATGTTCTTACTACTGTAACTGAAAAAAATATATATAAACAAAGAAATGTATAAATAGTTAATAAACAAGAATTCTTTTAAACCTTCTAATCTATAGTTTTAAAAATGTATCTCTGGGGTTGGAATACAAATTCAGTCGGGGGGATACAAATAATACAGTATCAGGGTTTATAGTATTAAAACAGTCAATTTGTCATTAAGACAACTTCTTATTCTGTATCAGGTTAGCCAAAATGGCCCAAGATAATAATCAATATTACGGAATCGATTGTCGATGTAAGTATATTTATAAAAGCTGACAATCACCAAAAGTAATCTTAGAAGGAGTTGTCGAAAATTGACTACTTCCGGTCGAGATCAGCTGGATGTCAGATAAATGTCAATAAACACGATAATACGGCGGAATGCTGCTGGATTGTCGCTTGCAATTATTTTATTTCAATAAATTACAGTACTTGATGCTGATGAACAGCCCCACTGACACAAGAAACCCTTAAAGTAAGTCGGTATAATAGGTCCCAGGCGAAAGCCAACATGGTGGGTAGTAGTTAGAATAATCTAACTGTGTCTCGGGACAAGCCCTCACCACAGTTAGAATACGTCCCATATACTTGCAATGTAGGAAATCGGAGTGGATCCACTCCGAATTAAATGATTTTGAAGAATACTAAAGGAGTTACACTGAAAAAAACTACCAAATTAATCATAACAAACCTTTTTGAGATATTATATATCTTTTAACCTTAAAAAATAATCCATATAAATACGAAAATTCAACTCATTTTCTCAACGTTTTTTCCTCGATTCAAATTTAACGCCATGTTGACATTCGGAACTCTCTGGTTTTATCATAGAAAATGCACAGAGTACGAGTTATCGCCCGTGTTTATCTTGCAACATTGCCAATGCACGGAATTCTATCGTTAAACCGGGTCCGTAGGGTTAGGACAATGTCATTTTAACGATAGAGCGTTCTATCTAGGTGGGTAGTTGCAGGCCTTGTTGATTGGTAGACCTAGGTACATGAGGAGCGCCTATGGTATATATATATATATATATATATATATATATATATATATATATATATATATATATATATATATATATATATATATATATATATATATATATATATATATCATATTAACAGTAAGGACTTACATTCTTCCCGGTGTGTCAAACATACGTACATTTCAGATGCTATCATTTGTTTTAAATTTTAAACAAAATTATGATTTTTCTAGCAGAACTAAGAATAGATTACCCATGAGTTTGGAAGGCAAATGAGAGATTGTCATTAGTCTGTATTTCTTGTGTGTTTCTTAATGGTTGTCAGAGAATAGAAAAATATATTTGTACACAAATTAACTTGCTAAATATTTCTTGGGTCAGAGAAAAATTAACTTTTGATGTTTGTGTTTCAGGAAATAAAGGTATGTAGTTCTGTGAAAAAAAAAAAAAAAACAATAAAACGACAAACTGAACACTTTACGTAAGTCACTTACAGATCCTATTGTTGGGATCATTACAAAATTAATGTAAACAGATTCTGACCACTCTTCCATAAGGTTGGATACCGGTACTCGGTACCAATACCGTACCGAATAGTTACTTCAAAAATACCGGTAAAATCCGTTTCATTTAATACCGGTACTAATAACCGTACTATTTCTTGACCTTAGAAACATTTTAATACATTCAAAATGATTTAAAACTTGCTAAAATAGAATTCTCCGCACATTGAAAGGGTAGGCTAATTAACAAAATGGATGCTTAGTATGACTTTTCACTTGCTTTCGACTGCCGATATTCGAGGTAAATCAGTACGTATTTCTCTTTTATAAAAAAAAAATGAATACATTAAAATAATCGTGTTTTAACTTAATTAATAAAAACTGAGAATAAATGTAAATTAAAAAGGCAAAATGTCGCAAAAATGTGATGTGCATTTCTATCCATCTCCTAATGTTTCGTTGTTTAGTGCGACCAAACAAAATGGGTCCTAGCAACCACGGAAGTTGTGTATACTTGTGATTATGTATCTATTCAAGTTAATTTTGAGATTCAATTTATTTGTTTTGTTAGTAATTTATTAAAAGGTTGAAATATAAACATAGTTTATAAGCTCGCTTTCGGTTATATAACATTGAAATGTTGATGATTGGTGAAAGCATATTTGTTATGAAATGAACCCTTATTCTCATTCATCAAGTCAAGGTATAGTACCGTATCGTTAAAAATACCGTATCGTTTCAAAAATACCGGTATGGTATCGTACCGTTTCATCCTTAACGGTATCCAACCCTACTCTTCCAGTGGTTATATATATATCAAGCACCCTCATTTGTGCCTTGTATCCTTGAGAAATTGTGTCTACAATTTACTGAATGCGAAATTTTTATGCCCCTGGATCGAAAGATCCAGGGGATTTATTGTTTTTGTCCTGTCTGTCTGTTGTCAACTTTAACCTAGCCCATAACTATTGCGCTGTCAAGGATAAGGCTTTAATATTTGGCATGAGTGTTCATTATGACAAGACCTTTCCATTGGTACAGAAATTTTTGATTATGTGACCTCAACTGTGACCTTTGACCTACATTTGAAAAACTTTGGCCATAACTATTGCACTGTAGTCTACGTCCCACTCCAGAATTGTTTACCATGCATCGGGTGCATAGTGTTTCACAAACACATCTTGTTATTTCTGTTTATAATGTTTTAGAATGTAATATGTAATCAGCTACAAGAAAACAAATAAAGACAATGGAATTCTACAACTTAATGACATCATCCTACTAATATTGTAGATCCAAAAAGACTCTTTAAAAATTTAGAATTTTAGCACATTTTCCACAATTTTTTTGATAAAATGTACCTCCATAAAACTCTTTTTTCCTGATGATTATTAAGTACATTATGTACCGTTAATTTTTTTTAAATTAATTAATTAATTAATTTTATTTGAGTGAATAGTTGAACTGAACTTATACTGACAGGATGAGGCAAATACGCTTCAAGTTATAGAAGTCGACATTTGCCCGAAAGACCAATCATCATGGGAGAAGGCATCACATGACTTCAACTGTACTACTCCAAACAGATACCAGTGTACTCCGAATGAAAATCTAACAGCGCTACTTGAATACTGTTATGATCAACCACCCACTTTGGTCGAGGAAGGTATTTCAACAAACCTTTTACAAAAGGGACACTTAATCTTATTTTACAATAGGTTTCATCATTTTACTTTTTCTAAATAAACACATTTGATAAACATGGCTTCAGAGATCGTGTCTGATTTGTCATGTAGAATCTGTTAATGATGTTGCGCTTTTAAATTAGGCCAAATAAATGTAATAGTATGCATTTACAGACTTTTCAGGTTGTTCATATGGTATGTTATTAAACGTAATAAATCTCAATAATTGTTTACATGTATGAAACATATAATTTATTACACATGTTAATTCTAGATACCCCGGGATTGATAAACAACGATGATCGCAGAGAGGTTTTTCCAATGTCTGGTTCACATTGTAATACACATGTATATTTATTCCTTTCCGTATCGGTTCTTTTAACACGTGATAAATGAACAAGATTGTTATGTTTAATCCGAAAAAAGTACATTGATTACAGATAGACAAGCACATTGGCTTTACAACGCAAAATAATTAAAATCTAACCTAAAAAAAGCAGTCATTTTGGTCATAAGTATAGGTATATTGAAAGGTTTGACACATGTAATAAGTTATTTTTGCCGCGAAAATTTTCCGCATAAAAGTTTGTTATAATTTCATAAATTTTAATAATAAAAACTTACACTCTAAATACCTAATTCACAGATTGAATATGTTTTTTATATATCTGAAGCTATATATAATGTCATGTTCGTCCATCTCTTTAAAAAGTAGAGGTTCAAGCATAACAAGCTTATATATTTGTAGGTTATTGTTGGATCTTATTAAATTCCCATTTCACTGACACATACAGCTGTGCTGGATTCACAGATGGATGTCCAAATAAAACCTACAGAAGCAACGAACTTTATAAATGTTTGTATAATTGTTTTGGTGGTATCTTAGATGCTATTATTTCTATAATTGCTCTAAGAAATGCTGGGAATTGTAAAATGTTCACTGTATTTTTATTTTGGATTTTTAGAAGCTTGTTTAAGGTCATGTTACATATAGGTCACTTTGACATTCATGTTTTTTTTTTTTACTTTGCACTTAGAAAAACATGTTTATCAATTACAAGCTTTTTGATACTGTGGTTTCATCAATATTCGTTGAGCACCAATTTTCGAGGATTTCGTTGTTGGGCAGATCCACGAACTTAAATGTTCATTGATTTTCGAAATATATTATTCATTTATATAGGCAATGCTTTTGTCCACGAAATTACGTATCCTCGAAAACATCTGTTTTACAAAATACACGAAAATTGATGCCAACGAAAATTGATGAAACCACAGTAAGCTTTGAGCTTAAGATAACATTTTCTAGCGACTTTAATCTTGGGTCAAGTTTACATGTATAGCATTTTTATCATATCAGTATTTCAACACTGAATAAAATGTAGCTCAGATAAGAAAGGTTTCAAAAGCATTCCTACTCATATTTTGTGATTGCTAGGATTGAAACTTTGCATGTTTTACTCTAAATAGTTCCAGATGATGTCATACAAAACATACACGTGGATGAATATAATTTACGAAGGAAATTAAAAATCAAAAATATTCTACTTTAACAATCGTTATTTGGCTTTCAATTTCTTTTTTTGTTCATGTATTGCAGATCAGGAATGTCTTCTTCTTAACAAATCGGAAGGATGTTACTTGGCTGATGCAAAATGCACAAGCCGGGGGTATAAACAATAATTTAATCAAATTAGGTTTTCTTATTTCATAAAAATCTTCAGATTAATGTACTGGACCAAGTGCATGTTTATGTTTTCAGTTCTTTTCATTTTTTAGGAAAGTGAAAACAACACCATCTACAATAAAACCATTACCAGATGATAGTTCTTCTTTAGAAATGTTAATTGGAGTAATAATTTCTTGTGTTCTTATCATTATCATCGTCCTTATTGCATCAATATTTATAGCAAGGAAATTTAGAGGTATGAAATATTAAATAAAAATTTACTAGATGGATAGATAGGATGGATGGATGAATGAATGGATTGGTGAATGGAGGTATAGATAGGTGAATGGATTGATGGATAGATAGATGGACGGGGAGATTGATTGATGAGTGGATGTCATTTCTCTGGGTGACTTGTAACGAAAATCAAATATTTCAATCATGCACAAAATGTTATTTGATTACTTCAATATCATTTAATATTTTTTCCTTTGAATTACAGTTTGTAAAAGTCACGAGAGCGGTCATGGTGAAGAACACTGTTTGCTTTCGGGTGATAAAACATACTTTCATACATTGTTCTTTTTTGAAACTATAACTTGTTAATTCACTTATTTTGATAGAAATATCACTTTATCACATTTTTTAGCTCACCTGAGCTGAAAGCTTAAGTGAGTTTTTCTGATCACATTTTGTCTGTAGTCCATCTGTCTGTCCATCTAGCTGTCCGTCTGTAAACTTGTAACATTTTCGACTTCTTCTCCAGAACCACTGGGCCAATATCAATCAAACTTGCCACAAAGCATCCTTGGGTTAAGAGGGTTCAAGTTTGTTCAAATGAAGGGCCACGCCTTCTTCCAAGGGGAAATAATTAAGGATTGGTAAAAATTTGATGTTGTCTTTTAAAAATCTTCTTTTCAAGAACCTTTGGGCCAAAAAAGTTGAAACTTATCTGAAACCTTCAGTACATAATGTAGATTCAAGTTTCTTCAAATCATGACCCATGAGTGTAGGGTGGGGCCACAATGGGGGATCAAAGTTTTAAATAGGAATATGTAGAAAAAAATCTTTAAAAATCTTCTTCTCAAAAACAACAAAGTCACAATTAGTCATATTGATATGGAATCATCCTCAGGTAGTGTAGATTCAAGTTTGTTTAAATCTTTACCCCGGGTGGTAGGTTGGGCCATAATGGGGGATCAAAGTTATACATAGTAATGCATAGGAAAAATCTTCAAAAATCTTTTCAAGAACAGGAAAGCCATGATCAATCATATTGATATGGAAGCATCCCCAAGCATTGTAGATTCAAGTTTGTTCAAGGAATCCTCCAGTAGTAGGGTGGGGCCACAATGGGGGATCAAAGTTTTACAAAAGAGCATAATTATTATATAGGAAATATCTTTAAAACCTTCTTCTTAAGAACAAAAAAGCCTTCATTAGTCAAATTGATATGGAAGCATCCTTAGGTAGTGTAGATTCAAATTTGTTCAAAGCACGAATCCCCACCCCCAAAGTAGGATGGCAGACATCTTCAAAATTCCGTTTTCAAGAACAGCAAAGCCATGATTAATTATATGAACATAGAAGCATCCTCAGAAAGTTAAGGTTCACTTTCATTCAAAACATGGCACCTGGGGGTAGGGTGTGCCTAGAACAGGCGATCAAAGCTTTACATATGAATATATAGGAGAAGAAATCTGCTGACGAAGAACAACAGGGCCATATTGACTCAGGTGAGCGTTGTGGCCCATGGGCCTCTTGTTTGCTAACTGTGTTTAACCTATTGAAAACCATTACTTCTACATGTTACTGTTTTTTTTATTCAAATGCATTTCTTTTGATTTTAATTTATAATTTCGCTAATACGTTCACGATGGTATCAAAACATACTTATTTTTTTTAACAAATATACACGTTAATCATGATGGAAACACAAAGACATTTTTTTATTTGCTCAGAATCTGGAACTCATTAACCTGCTTTGCTTAACATGTACGTATTTATTGAAAATAAAAAAGTAGCTATGTTTTCAAATCAATAATAATCATTTTGGTTTTTATGTTAATTGCTTTTCATTCAGAACATAAGGTAGAAGCAGTTGGGGAAAATGTTGTGTTGCGATGTCTACTTCCTGTGAATCACAGGATCATTCAAACACGGAATATTATATGGTCAAAAGATGGAAAGAAAATCAACTTTAAAAACGCAACGGAAAAATACAGTTTTGCCGAGGATAAGCAAGCCCTTGTCGTTAAAAATGCAGGTCGTCTTGATTCTGGGGAATACGTTTGTTGTATTAAATACGCATGCAAATGTAATGGGATGGATGAGAAGAATACATTTATTCTAGGTATTTCTATTTTATGTTTGAAGTACACAATATCTTGAAATAAGTAACTCCTATATCAAAATAGATGTTCATGATCCTCTGTGCTTGTACTAAATCTTGGAAACAGCAGCGTATGCTAAAAGAGTGCCACTCTAAATTATCGTCTTATTCACACAGGCACACACCCTCCCACACACCCACACGCACGCGCCCTTTTAAGATCCAATCATTTTATGATATTTATTAACTTAAATTAGAAGGTTTATTTATGTTCTTACGAGTTCTGTGAAAGATTTAAGTTTGATAAAAGCAGATACGAAACCATTTTTCATGTCAGCAAACATTTAATTTGGGGAAAAAAAACTTTACCAATGTGTTGTACATGCATGTATCGTTGTCATTATTCCTAATAAAAATCTTTATGTAATTGAAATTTAAATCATTACATTTTTAAATGTGTGAAATTTGTGGTAAAGATGTTTTCTAAATTTGTGGTAAAGATGTTTTCTAAATTTGTGGTACAGACGTTTTCTAAATTTGTGGTAAAGATGTTTTCTAAATTTGTGGTAAAGATGTTTTCTAAATTTGTGGTAAATATGTTTTCTAAATTTGCTTCCAACAGACGAAGGATTCCATAACTCGATGGATATAATTTTATAATTTGAAATTGTGCTATGGATACTACATGTTAAATTTTGTCTACAAAGTGATTAAAAATTCTTACTTTTATAATTTTTCCATTTGATGACGGATTTTCTTATTGTTTTGTGGTGAAATACCACGTTTGGCAATTGAGGTAAATGATAGAATAAAATCGTATCTACAAATTTTAACAGCATTTGATATATTTCTGTAAATGCATTACCTATATTTTGACACTTACAATGAAAGAAAGGCAAATAATAATACTATTTTTGACTATAACCTTGACATAGAATCTTAATTTTTGAACAGATATCTGGCGTAGGCTTCCCAATTGAAAATCGTTCATCTGTTTGTTTGTTGTTGTTGTTTTTTTTTTTGTTCGTTCGTTTGTTTGTTTGTTTTTTTGTTTGTTTTTTTTTTTTTGATAGTGTAAAGTGAAAATAAATGATTCTGCCTATTATAGGCTTGTAAGGTTTAACAGGTTAAAGCGTACTACACTTCAAAATTCCCCATTTCGGCAGAGGAAAATTATAGTTTAGCATTTGAAACAACTAATTTGGATAGGTAATATTCTCCTTTCATTATTTTATAAAAATTACACACATTCATGATCTCTTAGATGTTATAATCTTAAGAAAGAAAGTGTATTAAAGAAAAAAAAAATCTTGTATATAACAGACCTGGGCTATCTGGCGAAAAACAATTCACTACAATGTATAAATTTATTACTTCTGAACATTATGATCAATTCAATTATTTATTTATTTATTTATTTATTTATTTATTTATTTTTTTTTATGCATGAAAAAATTCAATATTGTGAACACGAGCATCATTTATAAAAGACATTCATAAAATGATATTGTTATCATAGTTTTATATGTTACATTATTTCTAACATCACGATTTTTGCAAGATATAATGACGACATTTATCATATTACTTTTTCCTAAATAAGTTCTTCACGAAACAATAAGGTTTAATAAGGTTTATTTACACCCTCAATTTCCAAAAATCTTCATGAAATGTGAAGGTAACGAACAGTGGTTATTCTCAAAAACTCATTTAAGCAATGCAAATTATGAGCATGACCAACTCAGACCCTTAAAAGCAGAGGTAGGATCAGGTGCCATAGAGTAATAAGCATCCTTTGTCGACCAGTCATACCCGACGTGGAGTCCTTTTGATATTTTGATTAATTATATTGACAACTTTCATATCTTGATTTGCTATAGGAAAAATAATTTACTCATTTACTCACTATAGAATAAACTTTAATATTAATTTTTTTTAAAGACTTTGGATTTGTTCTTCACCATATATAGTTAATTATAGTACACAGTTGTTTTGTTTACTAAACTAAGTTCAATTAAGTATAATGTAGTTTAGAAAACTATCAACATATTCACTTCGAGTAAATACATGTGGAATGGAATTTGATTTAGTATAGAAAAAAGTTTCAATTTTTAGGTCACCTGAGTCACTCAGGTGGCCTATTGCTATCTGTTTTCGTCTGTCGTCGTTCGTCTTAAACTTTTGAACATTTTTAGCTTCTTCTCTGGAACCACTGAACCAAATTCAACCAATTTTGGCATATAGCATCTATGGGTGAAGGGGAGTAAAAATTGTGAAATCCACGGCCCCTGAACCCCTGGGGCATGAGGGTAGGGGCTAAAACCATCAAAATTAATGCAATCTTTAAAAATCTTCTCCTTTACTTCTGTACATCAATCAGTCAAACTGTTGGCATGATTGTAATAAGCATTGAGCTCTCTACCAAAATTCTGAAATTCATGGCCCCAGGGCCAGGGGTTCTGGTGCTAGGGCACATATAAAAATTATATAGTGAAAATGCATTAATTCTTTAAAAATGTTCTCCTCTGCTCCTGGGTATTAAGCCGATGAATTAAGTACATAGTTATAATGAGCAAGAGTGCCTCTTCCAAAATTGTGAATTTCATGGCCCCAGGGTCAGGGGTTCTGGTGTTAGGGCAGAGCTCTAATGATTATATAGTGAAAATGCATTAATTCTTTGAAAATCTTCTCTTCTGGTCCTGGGTATTAAGTCAATGAATTAAGTACATAGTTATGATGAGCAAGAGTGTCTCTTTCGAAATTGTGAATTTCATGGTCCCTCTTGGTGAGGGGTTCCATGTGTGTGTGTGTGGGGGGGGGGGCTGCTTATTTTCTACATACGGAAAATAAATGAATGCTTTGAAAATCCTCTCTGCTCCTGGGTATTTAGCTGATGAACTAAGTACATAGTTATGATGAGCAAGAGTGCCTCTTCCAAAATTGTGAATTTCATGGCCCCTGGGTCAGGGGTTCCATGTTTTGGGGGGGGGGGGGGGGCTTATTTATTATATACTGAAAATAAATTAATGCTTTGAAAGTCTTCTCCTCTGCCCTTTGGTAATTAATTAAACAAACTAAATACATAGTTATGATGAGAAAGGATGCTTCTTCCATAATTTTGAATTTCATGGCCCCTGGGTCAGGGGTTCTTGAGCTTGGGTGGGGTTCTAATGATTAATTAGCAAAATGCATTAATGCTTTGAAAAACATCTCCTCTGCCCCTGAGTACTAAGCAAACAAGCTAAATGCAATAATATCAATGTAAATACTTGTATTAAATTTAATTATAAGTAAATGTGCCTTTTCTTTGCTTGTGGGTATCTAGGAGGCAGAGTACACAATTGTGATGTGAAGCAAATGAGAGTTACTCCCCTTTGCTAAATATTGTTAATCAAGAAATCCTTGTATATAATTTAATTAACAGGTTATTTGATTGAATGAGAATACAAGAAAGAATTTTAAATATAAATGGAAACAAAATAAAAATGAATGTTTGGTTTAAATGAGCAAAGTATGCTCAAAGTCAGATTCTTGCCTGGAAAGCAGTATAAAAGATTGACATAAAGATTATTAATATATTTAGCAAAAGTTGTAATTGTGCACAGTATGTATACACTGTGGTGATCTAAGTTAGTGTCACTTGTAGAGGAGTTGTGGTTGACAGGAGACTGAATGTTGTTTTATACCTTATCAAAGTGAACAAAGAATCACAGAGAGCCAGAGTGACTTATTGTAATTAGTGACAAATGGCAAATAACCACGTTGTATATATCCAAGTCTGTGTGTTCTGAATTGTAGCACTAGGCAAGTGACAAAAACATATCTGTATATATTGAATACCTTAAATAATAGGCAAGTGTTCTTTGTATTTGTATATTTTGCATTCATTATCATCCCTGAAAGACTTGGGAAAACCAAGTATGATCCAAAGGAGATCAATCGGGTCTAGCACGTTACAATAAGCAAGGGTATTTTTACCAGATTTTTAGCTCACTTCGACGAAGTCGAGATGAGCTCATGCTATACCCCCGACGTCGGCGTCCTGGTTAAAGTTTTAGAAGCAAGTCCATTCCCAAGTAACTATAAGCCCTACCTGAACCAAACTTGCATGGATGATGCATCTAGGGATGGACACTACCACACTTGCTTCGGGTGCTGGATCTGACCTAGATTTTCCAGATGAGTAACCAGGTTAAAGTTTTTGGAGCAGGTCTTTTTCCAAATAACTATAAGTCCTACTTAAGCCAAACTTGCATGGATATTGATCTTGGGATGTACACTAACTAGAAAAAATATGATGTGAGATTTGCCTTACTTATAGATAACATTCGTCGAGGTGAGCTTCGTAATCTTTGATTACCTATGTTTGAAATTCTTGGGCAACATTGCTTTGTCTATCAGTTAATTTTGTTTTATACTTCCATGGATCGTTTTGTGTTGTATTATACTCAGGTGACGTAAAGGCCCTTGGGTCTCTTGCTCACTATACTGAAAGATATCGAACTTCACAATTTCACTATAGAGAGAAATTTGAAACTTTAATTTACTACAATGAATACAATAGAAATATAGAAAATCTTCGATATTTTGGTTTTTGTGTCGCCTGCAAAGCTAAACTTACGGATCACTTTACCAAGCGTCTTCTGTCTTTCTTTTCGTCTGTCTGTTTGTCACACCTTATATCTCAAGAACTGTAGGAGGTATGGATTTCATATTTTGCACATATATTGTTAGCACTATGGTTTTTGTAAAATACCATGGTTACCGACCTAGTAACCTTTGACCTACGTTTTAATACAGTTTATTGTACCAATAAAAGCACATTTTATTTAACATTTAAAAGGTTTGTCTATGCTATTTAGTATGTGCAATGTTTGCCATTAAACATTATAAAAAATACCAGTGTTAGAGACCATTTGACCATGACCTTTAACCTACTTTGCAAAATAAAATCTGAATTGCTTAATGTTACTTATTCTTTTGAATTTTGAGAGGCAGGAGTTTGATAATTAGCATTTAAGTCACATGTTTACGCGTGTATGAACTGTACTTTGAAACTGCATGATATACAATAACCACACAAGCTGATATTTATAAATACTATGAAAATACATCGGGATCGGTTTTCAAAAATGGATCGTTGTAGACTGATAATTGCTATAAAGACAGGTTCAAAACAACTTCGGAGGACTGTTTGAAAGGCGTATTAATAATCATTTGTAATAATTTCAAATTTTTATTTATTCTACATATAGCTTTGATGGTTAGAGAAATATATTTTTATTTGATTATCAGATTCTGTATATCGCAGTCTAATTATCTGTGGATGTTTTTATTCTTTGCAGGCAATTATCCAAGAACTATAATGCTAGGAGCAAGTAAATAGCTAACCAAGATTAAATTTATTTGCATTTATAATGATGCTATAAAGCAGGCGAAACAATCATTCTTAGAATGCTACTTACGTGGGGTGATCAAAAAGTTCGAAAACCATCTCTATATTTCCAAAACCACAATTCAGATCAGAATGAAACTTGGCACACAAATAGTTATAAACATATTCTGTAAATAGCAGATGTTATGTAATGTTTTGGTCCATATTTATGATGTCACAATGTAAAAATGGAGTCAATATGTAAGTGATAGTGCCCAGTGAAAGCATGATGGGGACGAGATGTGTCATTAGTTGAGCAATTTATATGAAATATCGCAAAGTTACAGATAGAAAAATAGTTAAATATCTTAACAATAAAGTAAACCATCCTTAAAATATCATTTACTTTAAAAAAAATTTAACATATCAGATATGATAAAGAGAACACGCCCATACTTGATTCACATTAAAAAACGAAGCATCCAAGACGGAGGAGTCGGGTTGTGATGATCACCATGCTCGTTCTGGTAAAATATATCCATTCATCCTATTGTCGAGATTTGGCAATTCGTGACAAATGGACTATTTCTGTTTTAAAAAATAACCTGCACGGTAACAGATATGACTCGGAACAATCAAATCTTTTAGCTGTTTGAACAGAACGCTACGGAGCATGTCAAGCGACCACCTGGACCACGTGTTTCGCACATGGGCAGAAAGGTGGCAGATGTGCTTTATAACCGGATGGGACTACTTTAAAATATGATACATACTCAATCTAATTTTATATCTTTAATGTTAGTGGTTCAATTAGTTTGCGAACTTTTTGATCACCCCTCGTATAACTAATTGTAGTATTTTATAGTTTACTATACACTGTAGCTACATGTAATTAGTATTCCCCATTATACTATAGCTAATATAGTATTCCCCACTTGTTCCCATATAGGAAAGAGAATATCACTATCCATGACAACGTCTAGAATATTTTAGAACAATCTATCATAACCCCAAGAAGAATAAAACCCGGTGGATAGGGCATGGTAACAGAAAAACCAGAATCTGTATGTCAAGGTATAGATAACGAACAGTGATGAGGAGTGTAATTCATTTACAACACATACATGGACAACTGTTAGACATCATCCTTTTAAAAGACAACTATTCTCTTATGAACTTGAAAAATTCTATTAGAAATCTTCATTGCGCTTACGATAATTTTTGTTCACCCCATTGAGACCAAATCTAATTCAGTTATCCCTCTGCACCACAATGCAGTATATATTTATTTTTCTTCCATTTTAGAACCCCCAAGCATAACTCTGGGAGAAATTAAAACAGATGGAGAAGAGGTCGTACTTGAGTACGCAGTGTTTGTATCTAAAGATTGCAAACCATTGACCTCCATGTCCTGGAAAAGAAATGGTTGTGATTTGATATTGTCCGGCGAGTCAGAAAATTATTCTGGGGGAACATTGGATGATTCCTGCCTAAGAATTTGCTGTATCAAAGAGGATATTTTTGGCACATACGAATGCACTGTTCAAAATAAATTTGGTGAAATGACAATTCACAAAACATTAGGTAATACTTTTTTATTTCTAATTAGAAATAAATTCACAAAGTTAAACATCCAATTTCTTGTAATATCAAACTTCATTTAACATGACAAATGTTTCATGAACATTTCTATTATCTGTTGAGTGTTTTCAATTCTTTCTTCTTGATTCTGATTTCCACACTCAAAAACGTGCTTTTAGACCTCAGTCACCACTCTCTTCAAGAAACGTTCGGTACCGAAGCGATTGATTCCGTTCCAAAAAGAAAACGTATCGCAAAACCCTTTAGACTGCTTTAATGATTAATACTCAAAACATTCATAATAACGCAGGGTTACGGATTATTATTCCCAAAATTTTCTTTGGAATTATTGTGTACTAATCTACTTCATAACAATTAACATATCCTCAATATTTTAATATTATCGACTATGTATCCATCTTAGCACTTTATTTGTTAACAAGAAAAGTAATGAATAAAGTTTAGGTAAACTTCGTCCATTCGCAACCCCATTTTACAGCCAATTAAACTGTTACAGTCCCTGAAACGTTCTACTTTCCCACTTGAACGGTGAGCGAACGCTGAACGAACGGTGAACGAACGCTGAACGAACGCAGAGCGAACGGTGAGTGAACGATGTCTGAACGCTGAACGCAACTTGGTGAACGGTGAGCGAACGCAGAACGCGAACGGAGCGGAAACGCGAGCGCAAAGTGAACGGTGAACGAACGGTGAACGCAAGATGAACGATTTATTCGGAATGCCTCTGATCTTTTCCTTGCATTGAAACTATTCCATTGTATTCTAATGCCTGGTGCTAAAAAAATAAATGAATAATAAATAAATAAACAAATCAATGAAAATTGTCCTAAGAAAGACGATACATACACGTTAAGTAAAATTATTAATTTAAGTTTCTTACAGTATTTTCTGCACATATGCACGATGTTTAAATTCAACTTTTTAATTACACGATTTTTATCGCTGTAAAACATTGTAATTGTTTCTGAACACTGTAGTATAACAGATGAAATTAATCTAGTTGTAAAATAAATATGTTTGTTCTTATTTAATATATAAAATCATTACAAATAATGTGGATTTTAGAAGAGAAAACTACTGACATATAGAATGAATGACAACGGTTGTAACAACCATACAAGGCGATTCCGTGTAAAATAATGAGAAAAAAAATATTTTACAAAGGTATGTGGACGTATTGCATAAATACACTCGTATTTTAAAATTTTAATGCAATAATATATTTATGTGTCAGTTTTATTTTTTATGATGATTTATTCAGCAGACTTCTACATGTATCTGTAGACATTTCCCGGCCGTGATTATACTCGGACAAGATGATACAAAGAGGCATTCATATTATTTGTTATATATTAAATTTTTACAACTTGATATTAAAGTAATATGCTGTCATAATTTTTATTAGACAAATGAGAGAGAGAGAGAGAGAGATTCGGTTTTAGCCCCCCTCCTTTTCCTCAAATGTTTGTACCCATATTAAACAAAAATTCTAATTTTTTTCTAAATATATCAGGCAGTGAAAGTAACCATTTTCTATCAACAAATCCATTTGTTTTACAGTCATAATTGGTTTTTATTTTCCTGCTTCAAGTTCACACGAAGTCCACGTGCTTGACCTGTCAATCAAAATCATTCGACACTGTGCAGGTGTGAAAGTCTCTTCACACCGAAGGCAAAGTGTTAGTATTTCCAAGAAGTTTTAACATTTTTTCTTATCATTTCTAGATTTGATTCCAACATTTCTAAAAATAAATAAATAAATAAATAAATAAATAAATAAATAAAATGCTTTGGGAATAAACACTTGGAATGATTAAACCGCTTGAATTTGAAACATGCTCCTTAAAATATCACCGCCGGCACTTGTATATTTTGAACTACTATTGTTTATTGACTTTGTCTGGATGCATGTTTGTTTTGAGACTGAAATTTTTGTGCTACAAAACACATTAACCTCTTTTTAAATGTTAACTAAAATGTACTGGAAATGCTAACTAAGTAACCGATTTAGGGGAAGGGGGGGGGGGGTGTGCTCTTAATAATATCGAATGACAAACATATAAAGTTACGGTGAAAAATATCATTACTGAAGAATCACCTTGGTTATATAAATGATAATCATGTTATAAAGGCATTTCTCTCTATCTAATTAAAGCCTTTTATATGTAAAGTAGAAAAAAATTCTTTAATGTATTACATTTTAAACAAATATTTTTTCAAACCACACTATCAATTTAATTTCCTCTAAAGATATTTAATTAACTGGATATCCGCAGTACTGTTTATCATTCTCAGAACAAGTTCTAATATGTATTTCTGTATTATCCGAAAAAATGTGATAGAAATAAATATTTTCGCATTTTTGCTGCAGTTTGTAAATTAATTGCCTTCGATTATTATCTATCCATTAACGATTTGTCGTCTTTAACATAACAACAAAATGTTGCAGTGCTTGAAGTATCAGTATTTTGCCCGTATTTAAATTTAATTTTTCAGCATCGTTCTACATAGGTACATACATGTACTTATAACAACATTTATTTTCCAGATAAATTTTATAGATAACCTAACAGCTAAGTTAGAATAATAAAAATAAATATTGTACATAATTTTTTCCCCATGAAATAACGATTCTTTAAACACGGTATGTTATTTATTTAATTCAAAATCTGTAAATCCTTACTTAAAAAAAGATAAGTCCTTTCACTTCGGAGTTCCGAATGACACTGAAGACTGAGCGATAAGTGAACGCTGAACGCAAGGTGAACGCAAAGTGAACGAACGAAGAGCGAACGGTGAACGCTTTGTGAACGGTGAACGCGAGCGCACGGTGAACGCTGAACGCAAAACTGTGAACGGAGAGCGAACGGTGAACGCACGGTGAACGAACGGTGAACGCACGCTGAACGCACGCTGAACGAACGGTGAACGAACGGAAAAATGGAAAACGTTTCAAGGACTGTATACATTCTTTGACAGCTGATGTGAATGATGAGCATGAAGCGTCGTTCTTTTTGCATATTTACTTGCACGAAATTAAATTTGAAATACATTGTGAAATTAAATTAATATTTTATACTAAGTTTATGGAATTATAAGTTTCTAGTGAGTCAAACACCTAAACGATCAATTTAAAACTTTTAAAAGGAAAAAAATTACATTCATGATTGCTCAAAAATAAAACATGCTAAAACACTAATAATTGCCTATAAATACAGAAAAACATACCAATCATTTTTTTATCATTGTTCATTTGATCATTTATTCAAGAAAGCTTTATATATATATATATATATATATATATATATATATATATATATATATATATATATATATATATATATATATATATATATATATATAAATGAAGCAGCAGTGACAAGAACTGAATAAAAAGGGGAGGCGAAAAAGGCTGGAGGCAAATCAATAAAATTAAGCTCATTCATTCACAAGTGTAATCAGTGAAATGCTAAATAGTAATCATATTTGACTGGAGAATATACGAATATACTTTATAAAACAGGAAGGACTTTCTTTTTTTTTTTTCTTTTTTTTTTTTTTTTTTTTTTTTTTTTTTTTTGGTTACTGGATGTAATTTGAGATATTCAATTTATTTCCAAAGATGTTGAATGATAAGGCTATGATGTACAATGTGAAGGTAAAACGAGATGTTTGTGAAAGACTTATGTCCCCTTCCAAATAATTGGAATTTTTCTAAATCAAAGAGGCATAACTCTGTCGAAAATGGCTCGATCGTACCCAAAACAGAACTTGAGCTAGATATTTTTATGATAAATCTTTATACCAAATTTCATTTCAGTATGTGCAACCTCTGCGAAGAAAATGAACGGTAACTGCAAATAATTGGAATTTTCCTAAGTCTAAGTGGCATAACTCTGTCAAAAATGACTCGATCATACCCAAAACAGAATTTGACCTACTAGATATTCTTATGATAAATCTGTATACCAAATTTCATTTCAGTTAATGATTAGGGCCTCTGTTACATGTATAGAATCATCCTTTTTAAAATGACAATTGTTCTGATTTGAAATTGTAAATTCTTTCAGGACTGTCTATTTGCTAACGCGAAAAATTATTTTACCCAATTGACACCAAAACTTATCCGGTTTCGACTATACATTTCATCTTTATCTCATCTTTATCTTCCGTCGGTAGAGCGCTGCTCCGTGATCGGAAAGTCGTGTGTTCGAATCACGGCCGCACCTGACCTAATCGATGAAAAAAAGGTAGCAAATGTTCCTTCGCCAAGCGCTCGGGACTTTGAAGTGAAAGTTGCAGGTCTCTCGGATGAGACCTTAAAAATGGAGGCCCCGTGTCACGGTAGGCGTTGGCACGATAAAGAATCCTCACTGTTCAATGGCCCTGAGCTGAGTGTCGAGTAAAGGTCTAAATTTGAAGCCCCGCGCCGGTTTGTGGTGACGTCTCTATATGAGTGAAAAATTCTCGAACGGGACGTAAAATAACATACAATCAATCATCTCTATCTTTCTTCCATTTAGAACGCCCAAGCATAACTCGGGGGGAAATTAAAACAGATGGAGAAGAGGTTGTACTTGAGTACGCAGTGTTTGTATCTGAAGATTGTAAACCAACGACCTCCATGTCCTGGAAAAGAAATGGTTGTGATTTGATATTGTCCGACGAGTCAGAAAATTATTCTGGAGGAACATTGGATGATTCCTGCCTAAGAATTTTCTGTATCAAAGAGGATATTTTGGGCACATACGAATGCACTGTTCGAAATAACTTTGGTGAAATAACAATTCACTACACATTAGGTAATACTTTTTTTTTAATTTTATTTCTAAATAGAAATAAATTCACAAAGTTAAACATCTAATTTTTTGTAATATCAAACTTCATTTAGAATGACAAATCTTTTCATGAGCTTTTCTGAGGTAGAAGTCAGATTGAGTATTCTAATATTTTTCAGAAGATATAACTTAAAAAATTGTTAATGCTTGTACTGATAAATGATTAATTTTTTAATTATATAAGCATAACATAAGATTCTTGATGACCGTTATCAGTTGAGAGTTTTCAATTCTTTCTTCTTGATTCTGATTTGTACACTCTAAAAAGTGCTACTACACCTCAGAAACAAAGAGAACCACTCTCTGCAAGAAATGTTCGGTACCGAAGCGAATGGTTCCGTTCCGAAAACAAAACGCACTGCAAAACCCTTAGACTGCTTTAATCAAATAATCCGATTGACATACTACAAACCTTTATAATAACGCAGGATTACGGACTATTCCCAACATTTTCTCTGGAATTATTCTGTAATAATCTACTTCATAACAATCAACATAACCTAAACTTTATCATATCGTTTATGTATCCATCTTAGCAGTTTATCTGATAACAAGAAAAGTAATGAACAAAGTTTGGGTAAATTTCGTTCATTCACAACCCCATTTTACAGCCAACAAAACTGCTATACATTCTTTGACAGCTGATGGTATTGATGATCATGAAGTAGTCGTTCTTTTTTTAAATATATTTACTTGCATGAAATTAATTTTTTTTAAAAAAGTTGTTACATGTATTCGTTGTGAAAATAATTAATACCTGTATTTTACTCTAAATTTCTGCACTGATGCCATTTTACTTTTTAAAGCTTATAAGGTTTTTCATTGTAAAGTTTCAAGTGAGTCTACACCAAAACGATCAATTTAAAACCTTTAAAAGGAAAAAAAAAAAGAAACATTTAAGATTGCTTAAAAATAAACGAAAAACATACTAAAACCACTTATTCTTGCCCATTTGTAAAGGAAAAGAAAATAAATATTTTTTCATCATTGTTCGTTTGATCATTTACTCAGGAAAGCTTGATGTTATTTTTTTTTATAAACAAAGCAGCTGTGACAAAAAATTAATAAAAATGGGAGCCGAAATAAAAGCTGGAGGTAAATCAATAAAATTAAGCTTATTTATTTACAATAATAATATTGAAAATGTAAAATAGAAATTATGTTTGATTAAGATAAAAATACTGATATACGTTTTTAAAAAAGAAATGCCGGTATGCCGACAGCAACCAGATCTTCTTTCTCAAATTTGTTTCAGAGTGTAATTTGAATTGAATTTCTTCAATTCCCAGATATCGAATAATAAGGCTATGATGTACAATTTAAATTAATAAATAAAGGGACAACTAACCTAACGAAATAGATGTAAACTTGTGGAGACAGAATTAGAAATGAATTTAAAAAAAGGAAATGAATAACGAAATTGGTTGATACCAAAAATACCAATTTAAACAGGTAATATGCATGATTGTTTTTACTCAATATGAACAAATTGTTAAGAAAATGTGTGACAATGGCGTTTTATCTATATAAGATAAAGAGATTAACAAACATTAAGAGACCATGTCACTAATCATCACGTTTACACAATGTAATTGATGGAAATTTTTAAAATTGAGAAGTTTTGGAATTTTTGTGTAAATAATCTTTTTTAACACTTTTATGATTTCTGGTATTTTTTTTAATGATTGGCAAAATCGTTTCCATGGTAACCATATATGAAATTAAGTAAAATGCATGTTAAGTAAATTCAGATTCAGTCGATTTTCAGTACTTTTGCATAGTTCAACATATAAAAAAAAGAATAATGATAATAAATAACACTGCATGACTAAAACCATTAAAAAAAAAAAAAAAAAGAAAGTATTTTTATATTTTGTCTGCATGTTAACTAAAGGTATTTAATTTCTAATGGTTTTACTACCTGGACTTGTCTATTGTTGACCCTGTTTCAGTGATTAAATTCTCAAATCTGTAACAGGAAAATAAATATCTGATGCTGTTTTCAAAGATGTCAACATTATTACTGTTCAAGCAAAATTGAGAAGCATTTTTGGCTTGGTTGAAATTGAAGCGATGTTTTTATCGTAATGATGGGTACTTTTCCCATTTTTAATGTCCCTTGGAAGCTCTTCTGTGATAGAAACAAAGAAATATTGGCAACCTTTAGATGTTGTGGAGCACTGACCCAAGCCAGTCAAAGAAGATTCATGATATTTCAAGAAAGAAAAGTGATTCCTAAGCTTAGAATCTTGTCAACAACTAAAAACATATGCCCTACCAGGTAGTACATTTTTTTAAAAAAAATATTCATTTCTGAAAGCGATTGTTTTCTTCGTAATCTGAATCTTCCCTTTCTTTGTTCATAGTAAATACCTGTAAATTCCTAATAAATTTGTTCCCTTTGTTCATGATCTGAAAAAAAATCGCTACAAACTCTGCTTCAACTTATAAATAGTTTTTCTTTTCGCAGAACTATGTAGAAACTATAGAAATTACATTGATGAAATAATAAATGCAGTGGCAATCAACAGCTGATAAAGACAGATATCCAATCCATCGAAATTGATACAGTACTTCCTCTATGTACATATACTTATGACGGATTGTCTAACTATTTTGTTTATCAGCCATTTAACAGGTTCTTAAAGTTAAACATCAATTTTTAAATACATTAAAAAATTTCTTTGAAATTCAGGTGCTGATCAAAGATTTTTTTTTCCGGGAGAGGGGGGGGGGGGGGGGGGGTCTCACCAACTACACCAGATGCCAAATTTGGAGAAGTTGGCATACAAGAAAAATAAATAAAAAATATCCTTATAAGAGGAATATAAGATCTTTTCCGAAGTAAATTCCTTCAGATATATGAATCTGCTCACCAGTATAAGAGAGAACCATGTTTACTAGGTAAAGGTAATTTTTTCTGATACTTTTAGCTGAAAATCCCAGCCTACCTCCTCTAGGTCAGATCTGCACAGTGAAATTTCAAGATATCAATTAACTTCAAAGTTACAGAGACAAGTTAATTCATTTGCAACTAAAAGATAAAACATGAATATATTTAAAATGTATTTCTTTTATTATTTACTTTCTTATCATCTACAGTGGTCAAGAAAAACTTGTTAGTAACAGAGGTAAATTAAACAGAGTCTCTACATATTCAACAGAATATTACCGAAAGACTCAGAACAGAGATCTATAAACTAATAATTATTCATTTACTTGTTGTTTATGTCTCTGATCAAAAGAACAGAAATACAAGTACAGCCTATTTCATCATAATGTACATGTACATGCGCATGCATGTAAATTCTTCAAATAGTAATCCCTACAGTTTAATTCCCTCTCTCCATTCAAAAATGTTACTGTTTTATTTCCTACAATATTTTTCATTTTTCACAAAGTTTAATGAATTAATGTCATAGCATTTCGACATAAATAGTTAAATCACTTTTACAGAGAAAAAGAAGGAATTATCCATTGAAATCATTGGAATCAAATGGATCTTGTGATAATGTTATTATGTAAGTAATTATCATGCACTTTATAATAATTATTGTGTTTTATTTGTACTTTTTATCTCACCTGAGCTGAAAGCTGAAGTGATCACATGTTTTAGCTCAAGTGAGCTTTTCTGATCACATTTTGTCCATAGTCCGTGTGTCTAGCTGTTTGTCTGTCTGTCCGTCTGTAAACTTTTAACACTTTCGACTTCTTCTCACGAACCACTTGGCCAATTTCAACCAAACTTACAACAAAGTTTCCTTGGGTAAAGGGAATTCATGTTTGTTCAAATGTTGGGCCATGCCTTCTTCCAAGAGGAAATTATTAAAAATTAATAAAAATTAATGACATCTTTTAAAATTCTTCTTCACAAGAACCACTGGGCCAGCTAGGAAAGATGAAACTTATGTGGAAACATCTTTAGGTAGTATAGATTCACGTTTGTTCAAATCATGACCAGCAGGGGTAGGGCGGGGCCGAAATAGAAGTTTTACATAGGAATACATTGGAAAAATCTTTAAAAATCCTCTTCTCCAGAACCACTGGGCAAGGAAAGATGAAACTCATGTGGACACATCTTCAGGTAGTGTAGATGTCAGATTTGTTCAAATCATGACCCCCGGGGTAGGGTGGGGCCACAATGGATGATCAAAGATTTAGATAGGAATACATAGGGAAAATCTTTAAAAATCTTCTTCTCAAGAGCAGCAAAGCCATGATTGGTCATATTTATTTGGAAGCAACCTCAGGTAGTGTATATTCAAATTTCATCAAATCATGACCCCCGGGGTAGGGTGGGGCTACAATGGATGATCAAAGATTTAAATAGGAATATATAGGAAAAATCTTTAAAAACCTTGCCAAAGAACAGCAAAGCCATGATTGGTCATATTTATATGTAAGCAACCTCAGGTAGTGTAGATTCAAAGTTGTTCAAATCATGACCCCCCGGGTGTAGGGCGGGACCACAATGGACGAGCAAAGATTTACATAGCAATACATAGGAAAAATCTTTTAAAATCTTCTTCTTAAGAACATCAAAGCCGTGATTGGTCATATTTATTTGGAATCATCCTCAGGTAGTGTAAATTCAAGTTTGTTCAAATTATTACCCCCTGGAGTAGGGTGTGGCCACAAAAGAAGATAAACCTTACAGGAAAAAATCTTTTTAAAAACTTCTAAAGCCATGATTTGTCAAAGAAATATGATAGCATCCTCAGTTAGTGTAGAATCAAGTTTGTTCAAATCATCCCTCCTTCACTTAGGGATAGATTGATACCACTTACAAAATACTGAACTTTTAACCAAAGTGCTCAGATGATCGATGTGGTTCATGGGTCTCTTGTTCAGTATTAGTATGTATGTCCACCTGTAAACTAAATTTCGAATTCTTCTACAGAACCACTACGTCTATTTCAACCAAACTTGTCACAAAGCAAATGTGTTCAAATAACGTATTTCCTGAAATACGCCGGTGTCAAGTGTTTTAGTTCATGTCATCATGAATTTTCAAAAATCAAATTCGTTTTTTTTCAAATAAACTCATAGCGTACCAATAATAAGCAAAGTATTACTAGTGTGCAATATATTTCTTGGGAAAATTAACATCCCCAAGTCATGTGGATATGAACTAGGTTAAGAGGGGGGATCAAATATGGAAACAATTAAATTTCACATTATTCATTAAGGCTACATAATTTTATACATGTATGCAATCCAGAATATACATTTTGTGAGTGGATTCAAGATTGCATGTCATGGCCTCTTGATGCTAGGGTACAGCCGCAGTATGAACTTAAATGATCCATGGGAATATAAATGGGATTTTTTTAAGTATCTAAAAATATATGTGCTTAGGTGGCTCAAGTGAGCAGTGTTATTGAAACTCCTCTTATTTAAAAAAAAATAAGTGTAATTGCGAATTTGAGTCAATGGTAATATTTTAATCGTACTGAGATTAAAGAAAAAAATTTATCCTTAAAGATTTTCGATCTTTGTTCATTTCTTGTAAAATGTAGTTTGGGCAACTTTGTCAAATATTTTTTTTTTATTTTTTCAGGATTTTCAATAGCAATCAGATTCTCATGAAAGTTTATGGCCCCTAGAGAGTTAGGACACATGCATGACTGGAGGCAGCTAAGTTAAGAACCTCCATAGGAAATAAGCCTTAAAACATTCCGAGAAAATGAATGCAATTTTGATATTTTTTTTAAACAGCATCAGTTTTGATGAAATGGAATTTTCTATTTGCTTATGTATATATCGGGTCTCCGCTGAGTTTGGCCAAAGTGACGTCACTTACATCAGCTGTTTGTCACGTGGACAACTTTAAAATCAGAAGAAAAAAATATGTACGGCAACAAAAATAATTAAAAAAATCAACGATATACGGATATCTTTTCGCTATGAAATTGATTTTGCTTTCTTTGAGACAAATTCCTTAAAATGAAAAGTGTTTGGAGCACCTTCCTCATGCTCGGGAATTATGTTAGATTTAGCCATCTTCTGATAAACTTCCTAATATGCATTGAAATAATGTTAAATTATTGAATAAAGCAGCAGCGCTCAACCACCTCCCAGCACATTTCAAAACTGTACGGATAGTAGCTACAAGTGTTTAAATACTCATAATTTATTGAACTTTTGGGATTTTCCAGGGGTTGTGCCTGTCATTCTAGATTACTGTACAAGTGTGCATTACTACGGCTTTATATAAGGTCCATACATGTTCAATTTAATTTGACTATAAAATGTTGATTAATACATTGAAGAATATGTTTTTATTTTAGTAAAATCACGCTTGATTCATTAATTTTCATTAGTTGATGAAACAAGAATATCAGCTGTCTCGTTTAGAGTCATCATTTCGTAAGTTCTTTGGTCGATACAATGACCTTGTCAGCAAATACAATTTATCATTGAGTCAAATTCTGACTGACGTTTTTCATACTAATTGTTAGGCCATTATTAACACACTGAATTGTCGACGGATTTTTCCGTTATTTCCCGATCATGACCAGGAGAACACGGCGGGTGTGACCGATCGGCAGGGGATGCTCACTCCTCCATGGCACCTGATCCCACCTCTGATGTTTGGAGGTCTGTGTTTGCTCTGCTCCTATTTTGTATTGTATAATGGACTTTTGAGCTTGAATACTGTTCGTTATCTCCATATATTTCATTCACAAGATACGAAAATAGCTTGAACCACTCCTCAAGTACAGAGAAACTGTGTGTCAAACTAGTCAGTGACGTCATCTGAGTCACTGCAGCGAGATCAAGCTGGCTTTCATTCTACATTAGGATCGAGTTATATTGGCAAGATAAGTTACACATCGATTAATCTTTACATCACTTATAAAAAATTAAAATATTTTAGTGTGAATGAAAACAACATTAGCATTTATTCATCGAGATTCATTTGTATTGTTTTAACATGACGTCATAATTGTATCCCGAAGTTCTGCATAGGCTGACGTAAGTATGGGAATCCTAAACTAGCTGCGAGAAAGTGAGATGACAGAAGTATTATTATAGGACTCTCTGATTATACATGTACTCTTAAAAGTACAGTTTGAGATGATTTCTTTAAATGCTGTAACATGGACATAGCCCCATAAAGAACAATTAAACGGATTGAAGTTTTTATTAAACAAGAAATGACTATTTCTGAAAGATAATGAAATGCTAAATTTTAGGAAAAATTATGTAAAATTCAGACCTTAAAAAAAACAATGCTCATAAATAAATTTATATGCTTTTGTTTGAATTTTCATTGGAGTGTTGCCAATCGTTTTTGATAATTTAAGGATCAGCATTGTTCGCAGTACAGTTTAAGTGCGCAGTGGAAATATCGGCAATTTTTGTGATTAAAAATAAATTCTTAATCAGGATGGCGATTCTTTATAGTACTTTATTTATATCGGACAAATGTAATTATGGTTAATAACTACATTTTGAGGACGATAAGATTTCATATTTAGACTTGTCACGTGATGCGACAGTCACTTGATTTTAGCACATATATATTTGCAGTATTAAGGTCACCTATAAATTTCACTAGAAAACAAGACAAAACAGCATGTTATGGTAAGTTTTGATGTAGTTTGATGGTCTCCTACGGTTTAAAATAGCAAATCATTTCATTTGTGGTATTTAAAAGAAATGTTGGTTTTGTATGATATCATAGTTAATATTTCCTCTATAAATTAGGCTCCGCCCCCTTTTTGTAGCCTTAATTGTGCTGCGTTGTTATGGAACTCATTTGGTTCCTATGCTCAGATTACACATCGTATAGCAGGGTTCTTTTGCAGATGTAAAATTTGGCGTTTTGCTTGTTCAAAGGTATGCCGATAATTTTGGTGGAACTCTTTGTCGCGGACACAGAGTACATGTAACATGACGTTGCAAAAGAGAGGAAATTTATCTTCTAGATGAGTTTTTAGTGCGTTTAAAGTAGGTTTGAATACATATTTAAGAAAACGTTTGAGTAAAAACCAATACAAGATGAAATGTATATTGTTTAACAAAGGACTGATCAAAGTTATTTTTCTTGTATACAGTAGCTATACGCAAGGGTGCAAATTTAGCGCTTAAAATATGAGCGGTCTACTTCAAAACCGATAAAATAAACCAAAGTTAGCACCCTTTAAAAAAACCCCGGTATACGGTAATTGATGCAGAAAATCAAGTATGTTTTTATTATTCATAAGTGAGATACATCTTGTATACTTACTTTCCTACATACAAATACATGTTCTTCGTTGTTTTTTGTCAATATTCTGAGAATACATGGTTGCTATGAAGTAAAATAAGTTACTAAGGGCATGTATAATAATTTTTCCATTTTTGTTCATCGTATCTCTTGATGATCTAAGAGGATATAACCAAAAAATAATGAAAAAGTATCAATTGGGAAGAAATTGAAGGGTTAACGTTTTCTTCTAAAATTTGAGATGTATTTTTAACCTTGATTTGGAGTAAACACGTAAAGCTTAACCATTGTTCTACCAAAAAACCTATCACAATCAAAAAATGTACGACGTAATTAATAAAGGAACGTAGCATATAAAAAATATAAAGCACATCTAAATTGCAAGGCATCGGTTGCCATGGCAAAACGAAAATTGCACAGTTATACAGTTTTAAAATTTGAAAACTGTCTCTCAAGTTTAAACTTGTAAATATATAACCAAGATAAGTATTAAATTGAAACTCGTTCTAACAAAATGCAGGCTCATCTACAAGAATGACACATAAAATTGAGAAACATTTTTTGATTGTGATATCAGTATACGTTTTGTTAAAATTGATTTGGAACACTATTAAAATTGAAGCTATTTTTCTCAATCTATGTTGGCTTCCATGGTTACACATAAAAAAGGGAAAATAATAGATTTGTCTGTCAAACATCATTTTCATATATTGGAAGTTGTATGCTATGAATACTTTTTACAATCAATAAAAGAAAATAGTAAGTTAAAATTTTCAGTTTTCATCTGAAGCTTGATGATTCGTGACATGACCTTTTAAAAAATAAATGACTTTTATACGAAGGAGCCAATCATAGACTTATGCATATAGACTTTGCAAACTGAATTTGCACACCGTTCACCAAAGCATACCGTGCAAGAACCGTTAAATACAGTCCAGGAAACGAACGGTATCGTGCAACAAGAGAACCATACCTTCCACAAAACGAAACGCACTGTTTACAAAACAAACCTTCCGTCCACAAAACGGAACGTTCCGTTCACAAAATGGAACTTTCCGTTCATAAAACAAAATTTTCCGTTCAAAAATGAAGTGAACCGTACCGTGCAAGTGGTGAAGTAGCACGTTTTAGTATTTGTAACATTAAATTATAAAAAAAAAAATAATAAAGTTGGATTGGTTAAATATTTATATTTCTACTAAAACCTTAAGAAGTTAAACATTCTAATACGGATTGTGGCTATTGCTAAGCCCTTACAGTCACTGGTAATGATATAATACAAATCTAAATCCAAAGTGATGTATTTTAGAATTTTCGTAAGAAAATATTGGACATTTCACAAATCATGATTAAGACCATTATTTTACAGATGGCATACAGTGCAGTTCGAGAGAATGTCAGAGTTTCTTACTGTGCTGTTTGCTACTAGATAAATGTCGACCCAGTAACAATGAGCCAGATGACTGGGAAGAAAAGCTAAAACTGTCCTGGAATTTTTGCTTTGGGGATGACGAAAAGAATATCACAGAGCGTGTCCTTCCTGCTATATCAAATGGAAAATTTGAAGATTATGTTAGTTGTAAAAACAATGAGTATAAATTGTTATCTCCTGATATAATATTTCAGTCTTTTCTGCAAAGGAGTGGTTTTGTGGACTTCTTTCTTAAGCATGCTTGTTCACAAAGCATTGGTATATATTGTCGATCACCTGGATACAAAAAGGATCGATGTGAAACTTCCTGCACTGTCACTCCTGAGCAATTCAAGGTTGTTGTGCAGCGACTCAGGTTCGACATCCTGACTGATTATTCAATCAAGGACAAAAGGTTTCACCCAATCATCGAAGAAGTTCGTAAGTTATACAATATGACGCCATTATTAAGCTATATGAAGTGAACTTTAGATATATCGATTTCTTAAAATCTATATTTAAAGATTTATTTCAGGTCCTAGAAATGAATGGAAATATTCAAAAATATAATATAAACTAAATCTTGTCGATTTGGAGTGGTATAAGTATCTATGTATTTATCACAGGGGTTAATTTACCAAACCCATGACGTCATAACTGTTGATCAAATATTTTCCGAGTAAAAATGATACTAAACGAGAATTCATCTAAACAAATATATGAAATGGGAGTTTAAAAGTATATACAGTGAAATACACCTGTGATTCATAAGAAATTAAAGATTAAGAATAAGGTATGCTAATTTATTTTTATATTTCTTTCGTATAATGAAGACAAGTGGTGTTTTGAAAGTCCGATCAGCCTTTCCTTTTTGTTCTTAACAACAACCAAAAAAAAAAAATGCAAAAGTACAAGACTACACCGCATACTTTGAAACATAATTTTTGTTTCTTTAAAAGATTATATTCTACAGTACTTGGAAAGTGCTGCTGGGTAACATGGACTGATGAAAATTCTTCGATCTTATGTGCAACATGTTTAAATTTGGTAAGGTTTCATGCACGAAAATGGAAGAATTATTCTGTGATAGGCGTGTACGATTCTTGCAGCACTTTTCATGGCTGAGAGATTGTTTTCATGATTATTTTTCAAACAGATATTAATCATCGCCGGGCTACTGGTAAACATTTCTTTTTTCATTTAGTCATTTTTTTTTTCTATTTTGAGACCTCACATAATGACGTCGCAATGGAGTGCTTCTTTAGCCTAAGATTGATGTCTATAGAATGGGTTATAATAGTAAATGTTCTATCCATGACTTTTATGATTTATCAATGTTACATTTTTCAAAATATGTACATTCGCTGAATTCTGATCTGTGTGCTGCCTTAACATACTGTGCGGCCCCATTTCCCCATATTTCACACAAAGATTGTTGGTGAAAAAAGATAAATCGAAAGATAATGTCGATGTAATTTCTGTGTAAAATCCTTTTTGTGAGCTCATTTTTTTCTTTCCTCTGTTTAATCGTGATAATGCTTAGACCAAACAGAGTACCTAAGCTAAGTGTGTGCAATGACCTTTCATAGACATTCTAAAGGATCACTTCTAGGTAAATATATGTGTTGACCTATAGGGCCGATATTGGTTTTAGAAAAAGATTATCGATATCCGTTCCGGTCACTGACTTTAGGCCACATGCGTGTAGTTTCTCGTTTCTCATGTATTGCTTTAGCTGTAGTCAACTTTGTGTTCATATGACCCTACCTCGGTATTTACAGATACATCCTTTGTATAAGGGTCCTTACCTGATGCCTAGGTAATGGCAACGGGACATAAAACTTTAACTGGCCTTACCACATTCTTTTCTAATCTGTAAACCTTCCTCCTGCATTTTTGACATAGCATGTCGCCAATGCACACAATTTTCCCGAGGAATGAACTGCATCTACTCTGCATAGCGCAGTATCTCTCCCACTGGCACAATAGTACTAATACCCAGATATGTTCTCGAAAGACAAACGCAGCAATTTGTGCTCGTCATGATTTTTTTTTTTTTTTTTGGTGACATCGGCATTATCGGGTAACACAAATTGAATGATTCGTGTCCTTGAACAAAGTGTGCCTATACTGAGGTATAGTTCTAGTTGATTGCGTTTAGTTAAAGAGAATTTATGATCTGCATTTCCATAAATGTCTTTTATATCAACAGAAAACATACATTTAATGAAGAAAATAGAAGCAAAATGCAAAAGCCTGTATTAAAAAAAATTAAATTCGTGTTGAAACAGGTGAAAATTTGAAAAAAAAATAAAAGTATGCAAACAGATGGATTCGAACAAGGACACAAAAAATGTTCATGGTGAGAGTCTGTTGTCTACCTTACTGAGCGATAATGACTATTAAGATACATGTCATAGATATAAACCAGTATGATAGAAATAGGATTTCGCATTTTTTGTAGTTTTTTTTAAGGAATTTCGACCCTAGGGCAGGGGTGCCCCTAAAGCAAATGTTGTTTTGAATTATTCCTTAGATCAAAATCTATCAAAATTTCATAATTAATTTAGGGGCAGGCCTGCCCTGAAGAACTTCTATGCCAAAATTCATGCAAAAATTAGTGCTATTGACAGACAAAATACTGTTTTGATCAACTTTGGAGGTTAATTTCAAAGTTGCAAATAAAATAGATTAGGTTTAAATTGCAAATTTGAAAAATTTAAACAAATATACGATAGAAAACAACTAAAGAACATAGATTTTTAAATGTGACTTTTTCCGGAAAATTGTTCTCTCCTATAGGTCAAATCTTTCGTTATAACGAATGCATCCTTTCCAAATTCAAATATAAGGGTCAAAGCAGATCTCCATGTAAAATATACAGAACATAAGATCGAGGCAGACCTTTGCGTAAAATTCTATTTCCTTCCCATTGACTAGTATGACTAGTTAGTAGCCCTAACAAAAAATGTACTATAGTAAACTATAGTATCAAAGTTTTTACTATAGTTAATCAAAGTATTTATACTATAAATTTCAGATTGTTATATTTTATTTGTTTAAACACCTCCAAACAATTTTCTTGTATTAAGAGGAATATAACGTGTATATTTTCATATTAATTAAAAAGATTAAATAAATGAAATTCAATTTAAGAAATATTAGCGCTTAAAATCTTCAGAAAGGTTCTATAGTAAAGTTTCATAGTAAATCAAAGTATCACAGTATTTACTATAGTTAACTATTGTTAACTACAGTAAACTATAGTTAACTACAGTAAACTATAGTTAACTACAGTAAACTATAGTTAACTACAGTAAACTATAGTTAACTGTAATGAACTGTAGTAAACTATAGTTAACTATAGTAAATGTTTGTTAAGGAGGGGATAAATATTGTCTCCAAGTACTCCAGTGAATACTTATATCATTTGTATTGTTTACAGTGAATATTCCAAAAGGTATTCTTAGTTTAGGGAGCGAGAGTATATCCAAATATCTGAAAGATCTCACCCATGGCGAACATGTAGTCTATGTTGCTAGGGGAATGCTAGTTGGATGTGAAGGGGCAGGAAAAACAAGTCTTCTGCGCAGACTTAGGGGAGAAGATACCCCGGATCCTTCATCAACAAGAGGAATAGATGTCCATGTTAATTTATTCACCGTGGACGGGAAAAAACTTGAGGGTCAGGTTCAAAACTGTCATCTCTTTTGTAACTGAAAAAGTTTAATAACTGCAGTGTTTCTGCACACCATTAATTGTGTCATAAAGCATTGGTTATTGTATGATACAAAAGGCAAATTAAAGCTTTTATAAATATAGGCCAATGGCTTACCCAATTCGTTTTACTGAACAGTCATATGCATACCGTTTCATTAACTTTTTTTCATGTCTTTTCAAATACCATCTTGATGTTTACGGTGATGTTATTTCAACAAAATTTTCAATTTGATTTCAGTAACAACCAATCCAAATAAAGCAAGTCTCCGTTCATCTTTAAATCAGGAAGATCGACCTGATGATCACAACCAAAACATGAACGATTCTTCAAACCAGCAGTCTGGAAGATCTAGTTTTAGAAAGGAAAATATCAAGAGCGATAAAATGTCCACAAAAATACTTCCAGCTTTATCAGAAATAAATGACCAACAAGTTGCACAGAAACCGAATCAAAGAGAAAACAGGATGAATGAGGAAACTATTCAAAACGTCATCACGAATGAAGCAGAAGATGACGAGAAATTGACCGATGATATATCTTCAGTAGATTCAAGTGTTCTTACATCTGATGACAAAGATATCCATACTACGTTTTCCATCACGCAAACATTGTCAGAGTCTTTTGTAGATGAGAATGAAAAAATCATAACAATCTTTGACTTTGCTGGACAATTTGCTTACTACGCCTGTCATCACCTTTATTTTTCTCCCAATGATTTCTACATTTTAGTAATGGACATCACAAAGAAATTGAATGATCGCGTAATAACAGACAAAGCAGCTGAAATGCTCAATCAGGGGGATTTACATGAACAAATGTGTGATGGACAGTCTAAGATAGAAAGATCTTTATATGACAATTGGACTTACTTAGGTACTTTAATTTCTTATATACTCGTATTTTTATGAGAAAATCTTATTAACATCAAGTTTACGAGAAGTTTACCAGCTCTTTAATTTGAAATTAGGTAGCAGAATCCCTGAAGTCTTAAAGTCTCAAATGGTTTTTAAAAGTCAACGAAACAGAAGCATTACACTTTCAGCAAAAGTTTTCTGATTTTTAAATGTTAAATTGTATTTCAATTTGTAGAGTATACAAAATATTGGCTTCAATCCATTTTATCATATTCTGTTGGGATAACGCCCACAGCAATGGATGATGTCAAAAAACCTTTTAAACTGGCACCTCTGATTCTTATAGCCACTCATGCAGAAGAAAAAACTAAAAAGGTAAATCAAGTTTGATTAAAAAAAAAACAAAGCAAAGTAAGGAGATGATCATAAAAGCACTATCACTAAGAAAAATTTTTAAATGATATTACAATCTAAGAAAACCTGTAAACAAGTATTTGGCGTACTTACGTGTAAACGTCAAGTGACTATTTAACAAGTGGTCAAATACTTCATATTTATTATCAATTAGTGTGAAATTTCTTTTCACTTAAATAATTATATGTGAATTTCTCATTCATGTTAAACTATTAATATTAAACATAATACCGTTTATTCTAGGATGTAGAAGACTATTTTCGTGATCTCCGGGACAAAATTCCGACAATTAGTTTCCACATTGATTATAACAATGCATTTTGCACTGGTTATTGGGGCCAAAATGCAAACCTGGAAGAAATTAAGAACGGCATAATAAACGTTGTTAAGACACTTCCAAACTGGGGGAAAAGGATTCCTTTGTCATGGTTTTACATAGAAAATTTAGTAAGAAAGCTTTCGAGTTTGAAAATAATTAACACAGATGAGCTATTACGAAGGTGTAGTGCAAGTGGTGTTGGAGTTGAAAGGAAAGAGGATCTTATAACACCATTGCTCTTTTTGCATAACACAGGGGTCATTCTATTCTTTGACGAAGATAATCTCAGAGATTTTGTTGTTCTAGATGTTCAGTGGTTTGTTGACGCATTCAAAAATGTTATCACGGATGAAAACCACGCAAAACAGGATATACCACAAGATTTGTACGAGAAATGGAAGATGTTTAATGATAATGGACTTTTGTCCAGTTCCCTGCTGTCCTCAGTCTGGAAAAAATGTGAACAAAATGATCTGTATAATACAAAGAAGAAAGAAATAATCACTATGATGACTAGACTAAATGTTTTGACAGAGGTAACGCCATCTGTTTTGACAAAGGTTACGCCATCTGCAGGTACAACAATGCCAGATTTGTGGTACTGTCCTTGTATGAACAAACAAATATTCCCGACAACAGAGTTTGAAAACTTAAGGAATTCTTCTCTTCTGTGTTTCAAGTTCACTTTTCTCCCGAAAGATCTCTTCCATCGCTTAATTGCTGCTTGCAGCAACAAGTTAAGTTGGAGAATTTTTAAAATGAAATCTCTGTGTATTTACCAAACTGCTACGGTTTTCTCAGTTTCAAACGGTAAAGTTTTGATAGGCATGCACAGTAACGATAAAATACTTGTCCAATACCTTGATCTTCCCGAGTCATCATTCGCTGATTATTTAGACATTTTTGAAGACATAACCAAAGTGATTGATAGACTTACAGAGAAGTTGATGCATTGTAAATACGAGGTAGGATATATGTGCAAAAAAACAGTTTTTGGAAAGACAAATATCTCTCTCTGCCATTTTATAGCAGAGTCTGATATGAAAGGAGAAAGTATTCACTGTCCCGAATGCGGATTTCATAGAAAAGTGGTTGTAAATGATATCAAGTGGAATATCCTACGAAAGGTAAATATGGACATTTTGAAAAACATTTTCATGTTTGCTGACATCTTGTAGTTAGATATGCAGTTTTAATTATTCTTCGCTAATCACAGAATTTTAATATTGATAGAAAAAGAAGATGCCAAGTATAAGTAAGTTAAACCTTGTCAGTAGATGTGTGTAAATTTGCCAGTTTGTTTTCTTATTTTCTATGCATTGCTTATCTGTTAGTTTTACATACTTTTAACAACTAAAAACAAGGAAAAGATGCCATTAATTCCAACCTAGGCAAAGAATCTAGTTTACGTTAAATTCATGTCACGATTGAAGATAAATGTCCCTTCTTCGCTGACATTTTTTTCATATTTGTAATGATGATTTAATTTGAAACAATTTACTTTATTGTTAGATAAATTTCGATATATTTTACGAACTGTGCCTCTGTCTAGCGTTGGCAATACTGAAGGGCAGGTCTTTGGTATGGGACGACATTAATTTGGGCTTGTCAGGGCAAATGCAATATTAAAAAATCCTCACCCATGACTGCTGCCTAAAGGTCAAAAATTGAAGCACATTAGCGATATTTGTGTCGTCTTATTTGAGTGAAAATAATGGCAAGGGACGTAACGCAGCACAATTAAGGCTAGAAAAAGGAGGCAATACCTAATTTTTACAGGAAATATTAACTATGACATCACACGAAAATAACAATCCTTAAAAATACATCAAATGAAGTGATTTGCGATGTTAAACTGTAGGAGATAATTTAACTACATCAAAACTTACTAAAACATGCGTTTTTGTCGTAAGTTAAATCCCACATAGAAGGTTTAAACAAGTCTCTGATCGCACTGCACTTGTCGATATGACGTCATTCCGTAAAACTTAATGCAGTTTCTATGCAGTAATAGGCGGATTGAGTAGTATTTCCACAACGAAATGTATTTTATAATCAAATAAAATATTATTTGCAGATTTTTAAGAGGCCATTATTTTGGATGCAAAGTCCTTTTTATGATTTTGTTTATGTGATTACATTTCCTAATTTACGGACACTGTCGTATATTTTTATGCAGGTATATTGGAGGATAATCTAAGGGTCTTAATAAATCCATCTAGTGCAAGGGCATACCGTCAACTTGATCATGAAAAGTTTTTAATTATAAATTCTAGAAGTATTAAGGTTTTTGAAAAGTGCTGTTGATCCTGTTGAAATCTTAAAACTGAATTAATTATTTCTATATTTCATAACCAGCAAAAAATTCAGTATGTGTTCATACAAATGTGATTTTAGCAATAAAATAGTAGAATCTATATAGGATCGCAGCATTTTTCACAAACGATAATGGGTGTTGAAACTATTTAAAAATTAAACTTCGAGTTTTAACTTGGTTATGCCCTTGCACTATTGAAATTTATAGGTGACCTCAATACTGCAAGTATAAGTGCTAAAATCACATGACTGCCACATCACTTGACAAGTCTAGATAGAAAATCTAATCGGCCTCAATATATAGTTAATAACCATAAATACATTTCGTCCGATATAAGTAAAGTACAAAAAGAATCGCCATTCTGAAAAAGAATTATTTTGTTTCATAAAACATCGCCGACATTTCCATTGCGCACCTTGACTGTACTGCGTAAAAGAAATAACAAACAAATTATTACAAATACGCCGTGTGTTCTTTCCATATTTAGTTCACCTGAGTTACTTGTGACTTAATGCTATATGTTTTTGTCCCCTGATGTACTTATAGCGAACGCTGCGTGCTCCAATGACAACGAGTTCGAGTGGAGGAAATTCGGGTTAAAATCTACACATCGTTCAAAGAGATTTAATGAGTCAACGTGAAAAAAAATTTCAAAACTCCTAATCCTCTTTGCGCATAAAGCAATATTGTGGCTCAAATTAAGCAACAACTTACTTGAAAAATTACAAACAACTTAGCTACGTTAAAGAAGGCCACATTTTTCACATTTGTGATACATCGACTGGTAAGTATCAATGTGACGTCTCAAAATTTGACAAGAGACAAAAATTAATCTTACCACATAATGATGCATAGATAATAACTTGAATACATTTATTTTATCAATTATTTAGTAGAACATGCTAAATTTCACCATTTGATAACAATGCTGCGGAGTAATAAGTAATAAATCTTTATCGTAAATGATGTCACTAGCCTTGACTTGACGCAGTACAAGTGATCCAGATGAGTGGATTCATTAGTTTAAAAATTACAAAAATGTTTAATAAATATGAAACCATCGCAATTTTTTTTTATATTAAATCAATAAAACTAAAAGGAAATAAAATATATATATATAAATTATCAATTTATCTAAGTGCTTGGAATTGTACAGCGACAGAGAATGTAAAGAATATCGCTTACACGATAAGCGTATTCCTAATTAACCTCAAAAGTACATGGGTATAGACTAGCTATAGACTGTTTGAGCTGAAATATGTAAAACATATCAATTGTTTATTTCATACATATTTTTAAAAATGATTCTGGTCTGCATAACATTATTTTTATTCATAACAGAATTTAAACCAACTAAGAATTTGTAGCTATTGTACGAGTACGTATTTTTGGCAAAATTACGAGTACTTCCGAAATGGTACAAATTAGCTCCCGGCACTTTTCAGGTATAGGATCTACGAGCGCTGTTCGAAAATTATTGAGACAGTGTGTTTATTCTTTTTTCTAATTAACGTCTTTCGGTGAAAATTTGCATATACGTTTGACAAATAATAAAAATTAATAAAAGCAATAAATATTTTACAAATATTTTATTTCTTCTTCTCAGTGGTATATTTATTTGTCAATGGTAGGGATACCCGGCGCAGTCACGAAATCAGATGTTGATAATATGTTACACCAACGTTCAAACTCCCGGTGGACTCATAGTAAAAGCGAAAATAATTCAATTTATGTATATAATTTTTCAATCTAATTTTGGCTTCATTTTGTGCAAGTTTGTTAGAATTTCGATCAGAAGTACGGAGATCATAAATAAATTTAAGCGCGGCATAGAAATCTGAGAACAACGACAAAATGGAATTTGACGTCAAGGCTGCGCCAGCCAGCATACACTTAATTTTGTGTAGCGCTATGGAGAACTCTTTTACAGACTAAACGACCTGCTAAAACAATAACAATGCAAAAAAAATGTGTTTAAGGGTTTTATTTTTTCATTGGTATATATTTTATTCTTACAAAATATTCAACAAGAGTAAAAACAAGAGCTCCAGACGACCATCAATTAATTGACCCGAAAAAAATCGGTACTGCGTGATGCTAATTCAACCTGTACATGACATTTCGTGCATTTTTTTACACTGAGGTAGCAACAGCACACATTTTTTTTAAATTTTATTTTTTAAAGAATTGTTTAAGAAAAGAGACAGTTTGATTTTTGGAATGTTATATGTGATAACAGAGAAAGAAGAGTAAACGCTTCCCGATCGTTTCACTTGCAAAAAACATCTCTGGCTGACGTGACATATTAAAATGACGTAGGGATGCTGCTCCATGTCGATAGATATATGCATGTTTATAATTTCACCGGAAACTGTCTAATTATCCTATGAATTAGAAATTTTGCACATTTCTTTTATTCGTTATTTATAAAATGTTGACGAAGTTTCATGAATGTATCTCTGGCCTTTATGGAGTAAAAGTAAATGTCTCAATAATTTCCGAACAGCCCTCGTAAACCTCTTTTAATGTGTATCATTTTTTTGTCTAAAAGCATGCGTAGTGCCCTTGCTTTAGCGTCGTTTTCAACATTGAGATTAACAATTCTTTTTTTATACCAGTCACATGACACATAGCTGAAACATGCGATTTAACTGGTACTGAATACGGCATAAATCTATTCATTATGAATGTCTTTATAACCTTTCCAACATGTATACAGTTACTGTGTTATAGAGAATTTTAAAAGTTATGCATATTAAGTAGGTACTTCGATCGCATTTCCCATTTCCCTCCTTAACATAGTTGAGAAGGATGATATATATTTTGGATGCCTCAAAACTATCGTTTAAAACCTCTCATAACATAACTTTGCATACAATGTCATATTTTCGTAACTTAATCGGCTCGAGTATTTCCGTTTTTGTCGAAAATTTCCGAGAAACTCGCAATCTCTATCCCGACCATGGGGAGTCTGCGAGGCTTGAGATGTTTAAATATCTGAAAAAAAAAGACATTAGAGAGACACAGTCAACCCAAGTCTTATGAGCTAAATGAAAATTGGAATGTTATAAACAGAAGGTAAAACGAAATTTTAGAGGAGTAGAATTGATAAATTATTATAAAAATGAAACTGCAGTTCAACGTGGGACATATCAATTCGTTGCAGGTCAACCGTAAACTTTTGAATATTTTTCTAGCTTCTTTCAAACTGCTCAACTAGCTCAGAATTCATATTTATGTATTATTATATACATATTACCTAATAATAACTATGCAATACTATTATTATATAATAATTAATAATTCAATTAATTTTGTTGTGTAACGTATGTGGGTTAAGGGAAAGAAAATGTGAAATCCATATAGCTATCTCCCTTTCATAAGCACAAAACGAAAAAACATCTTTATGCATTCTCTTAGAGGCAGCTTAAAGGGGATTTAAAAAGAGTCAACATCTTCAAGCCACCTTTCAGCTGCAATTTATAGGTTCTTAATCTCTAAACTTCTTGAAGCCATCATTAAGTCATCTTTAAGTCACCTTTATTTAAACCACCTTCAAACTATTGCAGTGAACATGTAATCTTACAAAAACTGAGGATGACGATGTAATTTTCATGTTATCATCATATCTTTATACGGTCTATTTAAGTATCCTTTATGATAGTATAATCGTTATTATTTTTTTTATTTTGTCTCTTTAATTTCAACATTTGTGAACGCTTATCCGCTCCTGCAATTTACCTTAAAAGCAGTGCTACGAAAGAAAAAAAAAAGTTTGTTTAAATATACGTTTTTAAAGTATTTTTTTAAATCCATAAATACACACTTTATATTTTTTTAATCACGAAAATGTGAAAAATTGAAAAATGGTTTTAACTCAGAAAGGAGAACCCTAGATATTTCAAATAAACGTACAATAAAATTTATCCATCATGGTAAACACATTATATTTCACACATAAATAGACAATTTCAGGCGTACAAAATCATGATTTCAGGCCTAATTAAAGTAAACAACCCGGCTCGAATGTAGACCGGAAATACCCTTGTGGAACATTTTCCTAAAATCATGTGATCGGCGTGACTAAACGAGGAATAAAAACGGTTTTCCGGCATAACTCAAAACACGGCTATTAAATGACAGAATAATCAACAAGTCCGACTCTCTTGACCATTACCATGAATTATATGTAATTAAAGCTGTTAAGAGAAGTAACTGGAAAATAAAGATCGGTGCCGGTATGTCC